AAATCTTCATTAGAGTTACCATTAATATCCCCACGACAGAGTCTATACTAGGCTGTTTTGAGATTTCTTCTGCCAACAGAATTAATCTGAAACGCTTCACTCTAGTCTCAGGCAGACTCTTAGACAAGGATAAAAAGCGGCTACTTCCTTCACCAAAATATCACAAAAATGATTTCTAGGCAACATATTAAAATTCTTCTCTGAAAGCCCTTGAGCCAGCTCCAGACGTTTCAAATCATTATCAACACCATTGTCTTCCATGCTCCTAGTGTGCCCCGTTAAGTAGTGCTTAAAGCATTGCATTGCATCCTAACCCAGAATACCAGAGTCCATAATGCTTTAAGCAAAAGTATGGTCAGCAATTCCCCCATTGCTCGTACCAACTCCTGTCTTAGTTAGGTTTCTATTGCTGTGAGGAGACACCATGAGCATGGCAGCTCTTACAAAGAAAACATTTCATTGCAGGGGCTCGCTTGCAGTTCAGAGGCTCAGTCTATCATGGTGTGGAGTACCGTGGCATGCAGGCAGACAGACAGACATCCCCCATTACAGTTTTATCCTTGGTGAGAAGCGGACCAATCCTCTTGGGTTGGTGTTAAACTCTGGGCAGCTCCCATCCTGTCCCCAAGGCAGCATTTTTAAACACAGGACCCAGTGACAGGAGGCAGCTCCCTACTGAGCTCAGGACAGAAGTGAATTCATTTCTGCTATGGCTGTCTTGGGGCACAGGGCACACTTTCTCTAATGTTAATTGTCCTAAGTAGATGGAGCCTGGGTGAGAAAGGTTGCTTTGTGGGTGGAGAGCAGTGACCTGATACCAGAGTCTGGTGACATGCCAGGCTAAGGCCTTCCTCTTCAACCCTGTGGTTCAGGGGGAGTTAAGTCAGATCTAGAGTCTAATGCCATGTCTTCCTCAGCCGTGTGGTGTTGGTGTCACATGGGGAGGTTCTAGTGACCCAAGCCAGAGACCTGGTGCCCCAGTCACTGTGAACCTTTGGTTGAGTTTCTCAACATCCCTGCCTGCTTTCCCAACCTGCAGATGCTATTGCAGTGTCAGGTTAGGTAAGTTAGCACACACAGGGCTCTCCATGAGCAGTTCTGTCCCGTCTGAGTTACAGATAGTGGGCAAATGACAGGGTTACACCTCGTGGCTTTCTCTGGGCCAGTCAAGTTGTGTGACTGGTTTTGGCCACTGAGATAAGGATGAAATGGTGTGTCCTTCCAGGCCAGGCTCTTAATCACCACTGCCATGGGTTTTCCCTTTGGCTTGGTGACTGGTGGCTTGGTGACAGCTCTCTTTGGGTCTCTGGGAGTGACCCCAAAGTGAGTTCAGTAAGATGAAGCTAACCACAACCATGTGGTTCCACCGTCTGAGGGGTGTTTGCTGCAGTGTAACCTCACCCATCCTGACTACAACAGGTGTGCTTGGGTCTCAGGATTCAAACTTCTGTCATGTCCAGCAAGAGAGGGCAGTGGGGTGCGGCTGGGGAGAAAGACAATGGTACCTTGTCCTCCGGAGGATTTACTTACATGTGTGTGTCTACCAGAAGCTGAAGGTGACTTATTTTGTGGGGGGAGAGGGGACCAGCAGAAGGCATGGGGGGAGGGGCAGATATGAGCAAAGAAGAATGAAGTATGAAAAATGTAGCAATGAAACCATTATTTCTTTAAAATTTCTTACAAATTCTGTAAGCACAACATGGCTTTGGCCACTTGGCAGTTGTAAGTTGGCCTCTTCCTGACCAGAACTCCCTGCAGATGCTTTGCAGGGTTGCTTTATTCTCAGTGGATTTCACAGGCCTTGACCCTTTCCCTCCTGCTCTGTACCGCCCCTGAGTAGGCAGAGCTGTTGCCCTGGGTAGGGCCCAGCAAGGTCCACGGCCTGAACTGTCCCAGGCTTCCCCACTGCAGTGGAGAAAGCAATTGGTGGCATCATCAGTGTGTGAGACTGTGCGGTTGATCTCAAGTTGCAGTCATCCTGGAACTATCAATTATGGAGGCTGATGTGGCCATCCTTCTTCAAGTGTGCTTACCATTGGCATTGCCAGGTGCTAAGTGAGAAGTTCTGTGGTGGGGCAGGGTGTGGCTTCCCATTCCTGTTATCTCAGCACCTAGAGGCTGAGGATTGCAAGTTTACGGTCAGTCTGGGCGAGGCAATGAGACCCTGTCTTGAAAACGAAAGTCTATGATGGTTTGCCCATCCTAAGGCAGTTCCTATCTCCCTTCTCTTCCCAAGTTCTGGCAAGGCAAGTCAGGGTGGGAGCTAGTGTGTGGGACTCACCTGTGACCTCACTGACAATATGAGGGAATGATGTCAGGGACACGGTACCGCAGCACAGTTGATGTTGACCTCAGTAGCAGATGGAAAAAGCTAGGCTGTCCACCTGACCTGTGTGTCTTACAGGTTCTGGAAGCAGGTCTGTCCTGCCCTGTTGGGGTGAGCTCAGGGGTGAGTGTTAGCTGCTCTTTGTGGGAAACTTGAGGCAGGAATGTTTGGTGACCTGAAAAGGAAATCTATGTATTACCAAACACTGCTCCCCAGTCCAGTCTAGACCACATCCATTTCAGCCTATTCCTGTGGGGAGGTGTGGGCCAGGCAGAGCAAGCGTTGTGATCCCAGAGCCTTGAAGCTGACTGAGACAAGGGCACAGCTCACCCTAACTCTTATGACTTCACTCCAGACTCTCCACAAGAGCTAGTTGTGGCTTGTGCCTGTGATTCAGCCTTCAGGAGGCTACCTCAGAAGATGCTGAGTGAGACCCTGTCTCAAAAACAAATAAATCTTTTCATAAAAATGTGCTGAGAACTTAGCTTGGTGGTGCAGGCCTTTAATCTCAGGATTCAGGGAAGCTGACCTGAGTTCAAGGCCAGCCTGCTCTCAAAAAAAACCACAAACAGCATTGAAAACAAAACCAAAATAAAATGTGTATACACTAAAAATATAAACACTTCTGATCAACTGAATTTCAGTTGATTCTGTTTTTAGTCTGTCTTTGTCTCTTTCTCTTTTCTCCCTCCCTCCCTCCCTCCCTCCCTCCCTCCCTCCCTCCCTCCCTCCCTCCCTTTCTTCTTTCTTTCTTTTTGAGACAGGGTCTCTCTATGAAGCCTGGCTCTCTATGTAAACCAGGCTAACCTCACTCACAGAGATCCAGTTCTACCTGGCTTGGCCTTCCAAGTAAGTGCTAGGATGAAAGGCGTGTGTCACAGTGCCCAGAGAGAAAGGCTCTTGTCTTTTTTTTAAAAGTATGTGTGTATGCTGTGTAGGGATGTGTGTACATGAGTGCGGGTGCCCTTGGAGGTGTTGGCTCTCCTGATGCTGGAGCTACATGACACAGATGCTGGGAGCCAAATTCAGGTCCTCCGGAGGAACAACACACTGCCCTTACTGCTGAGCCATGTGGCTGCTTTGCCTGCATGTGTTATGTCTGTGTCTTTGCTCTCACAGAGGCTGCAAGAGGGTGTCAGATCTCTTGGGACTGGAGTTTACACAAGGTTGTGAGCTTGTGACTATTGGAAATCAAACTCAAGTCCTCTGGAAGAGCAGCCATTGGTTTTAACTGCTGAGTCATCACTCCGTATTGGTTTGCATTTTAAGTGTAAAGCAGGCCAGTGCCTTTAGTTGCATGTCTTGTTTTTGTGGTGTGGGAATGTAAACTAGGGTCTTGTGGGCGCTGTGTACACCGAGGCCCGGCACCTGTGAGGGTATATAAGTGTTACAAGTGTGTATACAGGGCTGCTTTTTCCACAGAAGGTGGGAGCATCTGTGTGAGGCCCTCTGTCTGCTCATCTGTGACTAGAATGGTCGATGGCACTGGTGCAGTCATGGGACTCGTGCTTTATGTCCACTTAAGTTCATCTGCTTAGTGAGTTCTAAGTGTGTGCTAGACATTGACCTCCACCTCTGGGACTTCTGGTGGGACTGAGCAGCACTGCCTGCATACACCTCTAGTACCTCAGCTTTGGTGACCTTCACAGTTCCAAGAGTCACCCACACCCAGCACATTTGATCAGAGCCTTCAACATGGCTTTTTATAGAAAATAGTAAGTCATTAAAAACTCAGACCTGCTCGATCTGGTGGCTCACTCCTTTCATACTAGCACTGGGGAGGCAGAGACTGACAGATCTCTGAGTTTGAGGCCAGACTGCTTTATAAAGGGAGTTCCAGGACATAACAGTGTTACATAGAGAGACCTTGTCTCAAAGCACCAAAAAAACAAAACAAAACAAAACCAAAACAACCAACCAAACAAACAAAACCACAAAAAAACATAACTCGGACTTAAGTATAGTCTACCGATAGCCTAAGATTGGAATGCCTACCTGTGTGTTCATTCAGGACAGTGTAGGGACAGCAACAGTGAGATAGTTGACTGGGTAAATGGGGACATCTGGGCTGTTGTAAGTGCAGTGTTCTGATGTAACTTCCAAACACCATAAAGTGCCTTCTGCTTTTATTGGTACTTTATTGTTGAGGGAAAATGCCTTGAGGTAAACTAGTTTTCCCAATACCACACAGTAATGGCCCAGATGTCTTTAGGGTCCCTGTTCCTAACCAATGGCATCAAGGAATTTGGATCTTTATTTAGGACCATGTTGCCAGGCATGCCAATACTGGAGCTTAGTACTGGTAGGTAGGTGTGTGTGTGTGTGTGTGTGTGTGTGTGTGTGTGTGTGTGTGTGTTTGTGTGTGTATGTGTGTGTATTGTAGATCCTGAGATGAATTTGGGTGCTTACATACCCCTGCAATCAGAGGTGTGTCACAGTCCTAGTCCTGGCAGAACAAAGCTAGTCTGTGCAGGAGAGGGTGAGGCCCAGGGCTTTCTTGCCTACAACATCTTTGGGGATGCAGGAAGGAAAGCTTGGTTCCCCAGAGCTGGGCAGAAGAGGGAAGGGAGAGAGTGGGACATTTGGAGTTGAGCATGAAGAGGTTGCTATGCAGAGGGCGTGGGATTCTCTCTTACTGGTGTCATTCCTCTTACTGGTGTCATTCCCCCTGCAGGTTGGTGCACCATGTCTGTCAGTGTTCACGAGACCCGCAAGTCTCGGAGCAGCACAGGCTCCATGAATATCTCCCTCTTCCACAAGGCCTCGCATCCTGACTGTGTGCTGGCCCACCTCAATACTCTGCGTAAACACCGTATGTTCACCGACGTCACACTCTGGGCTGGTGACCGAGCCTTTCCCTGCCATCGTGCAGTGCTGGCTGCCTCCAGCCGATACTTTGAGGCCATGTTCAGCCACGGCCTGAGGGAAAGCAGGGATGATACGGTCAACTTCCAGGACAACCTGCACCCTGAGGTGCTGGAACTGCTGCTGGACTTCGCCTACTCCTCCCGAATCGTCATCAATGAGGAGAACGCAGAGTCGCTGCTGGAGGCTGGTGACATGCTACAGTTCCACGACGTCCGGGATGCGGCTGCCGAGTTCCTTGAGAAGAACCTTTCCCCCTCCAACTGCCTGGGCATGATGCTGCTGTCCGATGCCCACCAGTGCCGACGGCTCTATGAGTTCTCCTGCCGCATGTGCCTGGTGCACTTTGAGACGGTGCGGCAGAGTGAGGACTTCAACAGCTTGTCTAAGGACACGCTGCTGGACCTCGTCTCCAGTGACGAACTGGAGACTGAGGATGAACGCGTGGTCTTTGAGGCCATCCTGCAGTGGGTGAAGCATGAGCCGGAGCAGAGGAAGGCTCACCTGCCACTGCTCCTACGCAGTGTGCGGCTGGCCCTGCTGCCCTCCGACTGCCTGAAGGAGGCAGTATCCGGGGAGGCCCTCCTCATGGGGGACGAGCGCACCAAGCTTATCATAGATGAGGCCTTCCACTGCAAGACCAAGATCTTGCAGAATGACGGTGTGGTCACCAGTCCCTTTGCCCGGCCACGAAAGGCAGGTCACACTCTGCTCATCCTAGGAGGCCAGACCTTCATGTGTGACAAGATCTACCAAGTGGACCACAAAGCCAAGGAGATTATCCCCAAGGCAGATCTGCCAAGCCCCCGGAAGGAGTTCAGCGCCTCTGCGATTGGTTGCAAGGTCTATGTGACAGGAGGGAGGGGCTCTGAGAATGGGGTCTCTAAGGATGTCTGGGTGTATGACACTGTCCACGAGGAATGGTCCAAGGCAGCCCCCATGCTGATTGCCCGCTTTGGCCATGGCTCAGCTGAGCTGGAGAACTGTCTCTACGTGGTGGGGGGACATACATCTCTAGCAGGTATTTTCCCTGCCTCCCCTTCCGTCTCTCTGAAACAAGTAGAGAAATATGACCCCGTGGCTAATAAGTGGACTATGGTGGCCCCGATGAGAGATGGCGTCAGCAATGCTGCAGTGGTGAGCGCCAAGCTGAAGCTCTTTGTGTTCGGAGGGACCAGCATCCACCGGGACATGGTGTCCAAAGTCCAGTGTTTTGACCCCTCGGAGAACCGGTGGACAATCAAGGCGGAGTGTCCCCAGCCTTGGCGATACACAGCTGCCGCCGTCCTGGGCAGCCAGATCTTCATCATGGGAGGTGACACAGAGTACACAGCAGCCTCAGCCTACCGCTTCGACTGTGAGACCAACCAGTGGACTCGGATTGGGGATATGACTGCCAAACGCATGTCCTGTCATGCCCTGGCTTCGGGCAACAAGCTGTATGTGGTGGGAGGCTACTTCGGGACCCAGAGGTGTAAGACCCTGGACTGCTATGACCCCACTTCAGACACATGGAACTGCGTCACCACCGTGCCCTACTCTCTCATCCCCACGGCCTTTGTCAGCACCTGGAAGCACCTGCCTGCATGAGAGGCACCTTCGAGCCCAGCCAGGTGAGGAGGGAGGGCAGAGGAACCCCTCTGGCTTGTCTGGAGAATGGTTGCCACATCTCCCACGGAAGGACTGATGAGCAGCAGGATGATGAGTTTTAGGGATAGACAGCCTGCTCATATCCTACTTCTTCTGGTACAGCTTTGGGCTTGCCAGTGGGAGGGGGACTATCTGTCCCCTGTGTGAGGTTATGGGATGAATGAAGGCCTTCTGTAAAGCAGGCAGCCATTCTGATCCTCAGAGCAGGACTTAAACCACAGAACGGGTGTCTGAGCCCTGCCGCTGTCATCAATACCATGAGTGTGTGAAGTGACAGGAAAACAGGAGCCTGGCCAAGCAGCGGCTCATCAGGTGCTCCTTGGGGTGCCGCGGCGGCATGGAGGAGACCAGAAGGGGCCAAGACACAGCATGCCTGCCGCCTCTTTGACATTCAACCCACACTATAGTATGAACCATTAAGCTGTCCTGGGATGCTCAGCCTGGTCTGTGTCTCCTTCCAATGACCCTGGCCCTGCTGATCCAGCCTTGTCTGCCAGGTAACCAGGAGGAAGGTCCTGGCAAGGGCCACCATCCCTGATCCCCTGGGAGCTCCACCTGTCCTGGTTTTTATAGAGCTACTCTGCCATCCTTATAGGCTCCACGGTAGTTCCAGGGGCCACGGCAGCAGTTCCCTGAAGCCCTTACTCAGGACTCCTGTGACTCCCCGTTGTCCTCATGCCTGCTGTCTCCATCCAAGGCACCCACTTCAAGTCTTGATGGGAGCCCCACTCTGGCCATGTCCTTTTGTCTTCGTTCCCTCAGAGCCCCCCTCAAAGCCCATGTTCCTCCTCAGCCTCTCATTGCTGCAGACAGCTGGTCTACTTTACTTTGCCTTAACACTACTACTACAAAGAAAAGCCCAGAGCAGGACTGAGGGCTTCCTCCAACTTATATGGATAGGTCTAGCTGACAGGAGAGTGCCTTGGGATGCCCTTCATGCAGTGATCACTTGTGCCTCTGTGAGACCCAAGGGGGGGGGGCGACACACAAAACAAAACAAAAACCTAGCACAGGTAGAAAGTGCATGAGGCATCTGCAGGATGGGTTCTTGCCAAGGCCTGCCATGCTCAGGAGTGCAGACAGGCACTGACTTCAAGGTCACTTTTCAGCTGGAGGATTGATTGTATTGCACAGACGAGAAAACCAGGCTACAGACAAGAAATGACAGTGTTAGGGGCATAGACTAAGACCTGGGGGCGAGCCAGAGGACAGTCACTCGTGTGCAGCTGTCACAGGAACCACGGAGGGGAGGGTGGCTCTCACCATCCTTTGCGCATAGTTTGGGGTCCTCACCCAGGTTTTGAAGGATACATTTCAGCATAAAGGGTGCTAGGACGGGCCCTGGCCCTCACATTGTGTCCGTCTCTGTGGCACTCTCCTGCCAGCTAGGCCTACCTGTCTCAGTCCTTGTTCTGGGTGTTTCTTTGTCGTAATATTGAGGCAGGATAACCAGTAAGCTGCCCTGGGTTGCTCAGCCTGGTCTATGGTGGGCCGGCAATCCATGCCACTGGGATGTTCAGATTGGCTATCTTAGAGTGTCTCAGGACTGGTAGAGACCTGCTGGACAAGCAGCGGCCCCTTGCCCTGCCAGTGTCTAGAAGATTTGGGATGTCTGCAGGTAGATGATGGCAGGAGTCCTATGACTCGGCAGCCGCCTGCCTCTGGGAACTGTAGCTGTGCTGGGGCATAACTCACAAAGAACTTGCACGGAACCTCAGCACTGGCTTATGGTTTTGTTCTCATGCTTCTGTGAACACACAGAACTAAAGAAAAGTTCCTTGTACTGGGCTTTCGTACCCGTGTAGCTCATACCAGTATACAGGCTACATAGTTCCAACCCTAAACTGTTGAGCGTACTGACCGGTTTTGCTTCCTGCAGTGCCTGCATGAGGACACAGCTCAGCACAGGGCCTGTGAGCTCATGAGCACCTCTGGCCATTCAGGGATGGGGGCAGAGTCTACTCTTCCTTCACAGGTCCTCCTCCTGACCTTGGGGCCCCCTTGTAGCTCAGCTACATCCAGCTATGGCCTCCACTGGAACCGTGCGGACTGGACTGCTGGGATGCCTGGGAACAAGATCTGGGGCATCCCTCCTCTTTCTTGCTGTCTTAGGTTCCTCCCCTGCCAGTCCTGCTGCGTCTTGCAGGGGGTCCCAACTTGATCAGTTCAGGAGCTGTAGCCTGGCCACCATCATTTCCTAACTCAAATGCCGAGCGACATCCTCCTGAGGACTGACCCAGGGTTTTGCGGGAATGCTGCCGCAGCCGTGACCACACCAGTAATAAATCAGTGTTTCCTTCTTGCTTCAGGATCCTTCTCCATGAAGCCTTCAGCAAGGGGTCTGGTTCCTGGATCCTTCTCTGGGCAGGTAGACATCCACCATCCTCATTTCCAGGGCAACCACTGACACTCCAAGTGACTGAGGACACAGCAGGGGACATAAGCATCCTGGCCACAAGGACAGTCAGTCCCTCCTCGTTCACCAGGACATCTCCATAGCCTGCCTCATGGCCTGGCAACTAGAAGCTGTGGGGGAGTTTTTGTTTAGGTCACAAAAGAGCTTGTCTCTTGTCCACAGCCTGTCATCTGCCGTGTATCATGCCTGCCGTCCTCCCAGATCACTGACGGGACGGTCTTGCCTCCTGTGCCTGACTCACTGGCCCATTTTTGTTTACATTCTTAAAGTACCACATTTCCTCTCAGGACCACCGTGTTCCTTCTGATCTCCCCCTTCAACCAACTGCTGTCTCCCATCAGTTCTCCGTCACGTACCCCACTGCATGAAATAAAGGTCCTGGTTGTTAACTCAGTGTTACAAGTTCCTTTTGTCTCCAGTGCTTCCCAGGGCAACTGCCATGCAATTGTTTGCTTAAGTCTGCAGTTTCTCCAGGGAAGGCGATGCCTGGGAACCATAGCTGCATTTGCTCCTGGGTCTGTGAGGGAGGGAGCGGAGTGACAGATGAGTGTATCACTCTGCTGGGAGGCAGGGTTGGGGGGTGGGGGTGGCTCTAGTTCCTGAACTGTAGAGGGCTGCACTTGACACACAATGGAGCCTTATCTGCTCCCAGGCATTAAGGTGTCAGGTGTCAGGTGCCTGAGTCCTAGCCCTGGGGTCCCCTCGAATCTGGCCAGGCAAGGACAGAGCAGCATGGACATTCATCTTCTCCCTGTGTTTCATCCACAGACTGCATGGTTCTTGCCGGGACCGGAAGCTGACAGCACCAGCTCCGGGCAGCAGCAGTTCAGGCTGTCCTGAGCTTTAGCAGGAGACTGAAGGTTTCCAGAGACACCTGTGCCTGAGCGTCCTAGGCTGCCAGCGGCTCGTGTGGAGAGAACCTTCCAGAGGCGTGGGCTGTCACCAGGAATTCTGGACTGGGGGGATGACATTCGTGCAAAGCCTTGAGGTCACCTCTGCAGAGCTGGCAGGGGAACAGCAGGGGTCCCTCAGCACCAGCAACACAGCTTTTGACCTCAGGGCTGCCTGTGGGAGGTGGGAATGTCGCTCCATAGTATCCTGGACATCAGGGAGTAGTGTGCAGCGGAGGACATTTTGTAAGGGACAGAAACCTGCAGGGCAACCTAGCCTCAGAAGGTACCACAGCACAACCCAGCCTTGGATGGTATCCACGGGCTTTATCAGCAGATGGCACCAGACCCCAGAGACCAAGGGGAATTCTCCTGTGTGCCCACTGCCAAGCACTAGCCTGTCCCCTCTAAGGGGTGAGTTCCAGGGAACTATCATGGATGGTGCTGACCCGTCAGACTCTGTTGAGTGTCCCCCAGCAGGGCTCTAGGCCTCAGGGAGCTGGTGGGGCTCGTTGCCTGCCCTTGGAGCCATAGAAGAGCAGTAGGATATACTGGCCAGTAGCACTGGGCTCCTTTTCCCAAGAGCCACCTGCCCCTGAGATAGGGCAGTCATGAGCTCAGTGTGGCAGAGGGACCCCGTGGTCACTGCAGTTCCCACAGTTACTGGAGTTCTGTCAGTGTGAGGTCTAGTGACAAGACTCCCGTGACACCTGCTCTCCTCCTTGGCACCAGCTGGCAGCCTGTATCCTGCCTGATTGCTCCTTTAGCTCAGAAAGAAGGATCCGAAGAAACTTCCCGAATGTGTTTCTCAAGGGTTCCTTACCAGTGTCCCTGCAGTAGGTTTGCAGAGGTGCCTTCTGATGCCACTGTTGACCTCTGTCTCTTCCCTTGTTGGCTAGCCCAATGTAGGGGGGGCAGGCACTCTTGTGTCTGGCACAGGGTGGGCAGGGTGCCTAGCTGGTGGCTTCCAGGCCATGACTGTATCAGCATGGAGCATCCAGAGTGGGTACTCCATTGACAGACGTGGAGTCACGGTACAGACCAGTGGGGTCAATGCTCAGCATCCTCCCAGCTCAGCCTGGTTCTGATGCTGAGTGCCCACTAGGAGGCGGGGCTTTGGGCCTGGGCTCCCCATGGCATTCTCTGGGAAAGAGCCCAAAGCCTCCTTCTTGATGTGACCTAGGCTCAGGCTGGCCCTCATCCGAGGTCCAGCCTGCTTTTCACTCCACATAGGGTCAGCGACGCTGGAGCCTTGCAGGTCTTGGCCCACGGACTCTGCCATGGGGACTAATCACTCCGCATAGCAGAGGACTTGGCCATGGTGCTTGTCTGAGCCTGGGTGTTGCTTTTAGTAGTTTTCTAACTTAATAAAAGGGAGGAAGTTCCTGGCCTTCCTCGGGTTCTGAGCCTGCTGTGACTTTGTGAGCTCCTGGTCTAGCCTGCCTCTCTGTGCCTGCTGCCTTGTGCATCGTGGGGACCTGCCAGAGCAGAGGACCTAACTTCCCATCGGGGCTCATTTTTCCCTCTGTCCCGCGTTAAAACAGTTCCATCCAGTAGGCCAGCGTTGTGCACCATGGGCTTCAGGGGCACAGTTTTGTGAAAGCCACATTGGTGCTGTGAAGGTGGTCGTGATTAACTGTGACAGTAGGGACACAGCATCCATAAGGGCATTTGGTCCTCAGGGGTTATATCAGTGGTCGTGGGCTGCTGTCCTTCCTCTACTTCAAACTGTAAACCCAGGAGTGAGTGCGAGTTAGATGCAGCTGCGTGAATTGGGTGGTCTAGCCTCGGCATGGCTGTCACCTCCAGTGGCATTCAGCAGCATGCAAACCCCTAGTGGGAAGCACTTCAAACAGCAAGTGAGGCACTATGTCACATTTCTCTGACTGGAATGACCATCGTACGAACCAGGAGCCTCTCAAAGGTCAAGAGCACTGTGTTGCTTTGGCAGAGGACCTGGACCTAGGTGTGGTTCTCAGCACCCACACAGTGGCTCCAACCATCAACAGCCTGTCCTGGCCCTTGTGAGCAACAGGGACACACATGGTGCTCATATATATAGGTAAACATTCATACACATTTTTAAAAGGCATCCAGGAGCACAGATGGTCTCCTACTGCAGCCCCCTCCCCCAGTATCTTCATACAGGTCTCCAGCTTTGATAGCTGTAAACACAGGCCATAGTGATGACAAGCCAGGTCCCTCCCTTCCCTTCAGTCCCAGTGTCGGTGAGCAGGCCCCGGATGCTCTTTCCAACATCCTGGTCCTATTCCAGCAAGCCTCACCAGCTCCAGCTCCTGCAACTCTGTATGTGTGTGTGTCCATGTAGCCTTGGCTTCACTGAAACTCTGAAGACCAGAGAGGCCTCAAACTCATTCCTCTTTTAAAGTTGTGAAGTTGGACTTTGCTGTACTTAATACGGCCTCCGAAGAGGTTGAACAATACCCAGCTAAAGTCCTTTACCTTGCCAGGAGCCCCACAAGGGCAGCATCCTTGACTTCTTCCTGCTGGTGGGGAACCAGGCTCAGGCTGAATGACCCAACTAGGGGCTCACACAGGTTGCCCATAGTACGTGATCTGTAATGGTAGCTGGGGCTTCTCTGGTTTGAGCTTGGGTGATGGGGCCAAGGGTTAGGTCTATGGTATAGATCTGTGATGGCATAGCCAGCTCCTGGGCCACCCTTGTTGCCCTCGTGGTGGCTCCATGCTGCAGTGGCACCATCTGTGGTCTACCTTTGAAGGAGGTGAGCGGCTCTGTACCTTGGTGATGCACAGCTTTTGGACCAGCCTGACTGGAAGGAGGCTTCGGGAAGGAAAGAGCCCTGCCAGTGTGTGTATGGGCCAGTTTTCCCTGGGAAATAGTCCCCTGCACCACCAGTGGGGACCCCTGCCTGACAGGAATAACAGTTGAGACTGTCCCGGAGGTTCAGCCCCCTGGGAGCCTGTCCAGGTGAGGAGGGGCTAGCTGGCTTTGTTACCGAAAGGCCCATGGCCTTGGCCATTTGCTCATACTGCCTCCTGCTCTACCTCAGGGCTGTGGGAAGTGGGAAGAAAGGTCAGTTTAAAAAACAATTGGGCAGCCTAGTGAATGATGGTGACTCATGCCTTTAATCCCAGCACTGGGGAGGCAGAGCAGAGGCCAGCCTGGTCTGCACAGCTAGTTTGAGTATGGTCAGAGCTGCAGCAGTTTGGGGGTGGGGAGCTGTTCAGGGAGGTCTTTTTAGGGCATGGCAGCAGCAGGCTTGGTGGCAGGAGCAGAAAAGGAGAGCTCACACCTTTAATGAACATGAAACAGTAAATGTTTTGTTTTTGTTTTAGAGACAGGGTTTTCTCTGCATAGTCTCAGCTTTCCTGGAACTGAGACCAGGCTGGCCTTGAATGCAGAGATCTGCCTGCCTCTGCCCCTGAGTGCTGGAATTAAAGGCATGTACCACCAACCAGCAAATCAGCAAATTGTTAGTGAGGTGCAGCTGTAAACTCTCTAGGCCCTCTTCCAGGTATAGTAACTCACCCAGCAAAGCCATTCCTTACTATAGCCTTCCCAAACAGCACCACCCACTGAGGAGCAAGAGCTGGGTGCACTGTTCATTCAAATCACAGTTAGTGCAGTGCTGACCTCGAGAGCACAGAGGCCTGGGACTGATTCCTAGCCCTTTGGTGACAGCTGGCACAGTGTTCACACCTGTAATCCCAGTACAGGTAAAAGCAGGGGAGTCAGGAGATCAAGGCCATCCTCAGCTACACAGGGGGTTAGGGCCAGCTGGCCTACATGAGACCCCGTGTGAAAAAACAATTGCTTTAAAGGTTGAGGCAGGAGGCTGAAGTGAAGTCAAGGCCAGTCAGGGCTGCAGGATGAGTTCCAGGCCAACATTGACTACAGTGTGAAACCTTGACTCAAAAAACCTGAAAACAAGACCCACCAAAAGGCAGCGAGGTCTTTAATGAATGAGGCTGACGAGAGCTTGAGTCTTTCATGACCCTGGAGGGACATAGTGCGCTGAGACTCAGGCTCAGTCTACAAAATGCTACACCTAGTGTCCAGCTACCGTTGGTCGACACGTGGACTTCACCAAGATGAGCAGGGTCAAACCTCCCTCACTTCCTGTCCAGCCTCAGCAGCCTTCACAGTCCAGGCACTGCCCCTGGAGCCAGGGGTGGATGTGGTGAGGGTCCCAGACCTGGGTCAAGGAATGCCCTGCAGCCAGGAGAGAGACCCGCATCACTGGGTTCTTCCTGGGTTTCTTCAGGGGAAAGGCTCCCAGGCACCTTGAACTCAAGCTACAGGTAGGTGGGTCAATACAAGGTTCATTGGCAATATTAGATCATCCTTGAGATCTGCCTCAAAGATACAGAAACACACAGCTGAATCACAGGACATGCAAAGTCCCCTGGCAGTGCCTGGTGCTTGGAAAGAGTGGGCTATTCTCATTACTTGTAATGCTGTGGCCAAATACAGGGTCCCTGCCATAGCCTTGCCTGACTCAGCCTCATGGTCTGTGCCCACAGCGTGGAGGCCTGATTTCTGGCTCTGTGTGTCGCGGTTTAGGGAGTGTGACCATGATATCCTTTGCAGCAATGCTTTGACATCCTTTAAGTCCCAGTGGGAACTTGGGGTCAAAGTTCACTAGTATAACTGAAAGAGACAGGCTGTGGGGGTCGGTGAGAGGGCAAGGTCTTTGCAAATGAGGCTAGCCCAAGACCTCCTACTCATCCAGTGTTAGGCAGAGGCCTTCTGCCTGTCAGAAGGGGCGGCTCCCCTCTTGTTACTGTGGGTGACATCATCACTAAGCAAACATGGATCTGTCTGGGACGATGGCTTTGTGAGTAAAATGGGGACATTAGTACAGATCTCCAGCAGCCATGTCAAAACAAGGCACGTGGCATCTATCTATAACCCCAGCCCTGGAGACAAGTTGATGCTGGGAGCTGGCTGGTCAGGCAGCCTAGACAAGTGGTTGAGATCTGTGTCAGTGAGAGACCCTGTCTCAAGAGATCTAAGGAGGAGGAGAGCACATGAAGAAAATAGCTGTTGTTGACCCCTGGCCTCCACTCATTCGTACACATGAACACACACACACACACATACACACGCACACACACTTCACAAGTCTCACGAACCAGCAGATTGGTTCCACTGTGACAGAGAAAGGGGGAAATAAAAAGTCAGGACTGTCTTTAACCACTTAGGACGTTCCAGGGTTCCAGTCAAGGGATCACACAGACCTGGTGTGGTTTATAACATCAGAACCACGCTGGATGATCTACATTTTGGATGACAGTTTAGCCCAATGAAAACTACGCAAACACAAGAGCAGCCTCAAATGCAGCTCAGGATTCAATTCTGTTTCTTCTTTCAGAGTTTAACATAAAGGTTCTCACTCTGCTTGTACATTAGACTTAACTGAGGAGCTTGGATGAGTATTAAAGCTGGAAACCCCTGCCTCAGTATCTCTGCTTCAATGGGTTTGGGATAGGACCCAGTAACAGGTTTTGTTTTTTTCCCCAGAAACAGGATTGTTCTTTAATCAGGACAACTGAAGGCCGTAGTCTCTCTGAGGGAATGGAGAATGTGTGTACATGATGCTGGGCCTTGGGGTCTTACATGGCAGAAGAGGGAAGATTTCACCTGCAACTGAGCTCCCCTACAGTCTCAAAGTGGTAGGAACCACAGAGGGAGGCATCCTGGTGCCAGACAGGTGTTATCAGTGAAGTCAACTCTCCTGCCCAGAGTTTCTCAGTCCACATGAGGCTTTTAGGTCGTTAACCCTTCAGACCCAGGGGACAGATAGAAAAGAAGAGGGGCAACTTATTCTCACACTGGCTGATTCCCGACAGATGACGGAGGGGACATGGGCTCTGTCCCCAGAATCTAAGAGTATTGTCCCGATTGACTTTATGTAGCAGGAGGAGAGTTTTAACTTGATCAGCTGTGGTGGATCATGTGACTGCCATCAAGTGACCCTAGAGAAACATCTGAAAACTAAGTGTTAGAGGGCTGAAATGGATGGTTACAGAGTGAGCCTGAGAGATTGACCAGGAAAGGGGGGGGGTATAATCAGGAGACACAGAGAGGAGCCAGAGAGAGGAGCTGGGTGTCCGTAGATGGGGTCCCATATAAGGAAGGGGGAGGATTCTTGTTGTGTCTCTAAGGGCTGTGGGTGTCCGGCAGAGGTCAGTCAGAATGGGAAGGATGCCAGGAGAGGTGATAAGTTGGAGGAAGCAACAGCCCCGCATTCTGGGTTTTGGGAAAGATAGAAGTAAGAGGCTGGAAACGCCAAGCCATCTTGGGAGGTCCACTGGGGCTAAGGACCTGGGAAGGAGTGGATCGTCGTGTGAAGATGTATCTTGAGAGGGTGTGGATCCACAGTGATGGGGGGCAGGCAGACCAGGAGCACTGGACCAGAGC